AACAAGGAACTCACTCATAACGTCATTCTGGTTCCCCCTCGATACACCCGAAAAGGTTTTGCGCGATTTTCAATATCTTCTTTAGTTTGGAAAATATGGCCGACTGCAAGTTTTAAAATTGACACCCCGTATACGTACTTTCATTTAGCTAACTACAGAAAATAGAATTTTTTTTCTCGATAAAGGTCAAAGATCCGAAAAAATATAGGAGACCAAAAAGTTTTTAAACAAACCATACAATGAAACGCTTGTTTCACAATCTACCAGTGGTGCACCAAAAAAAGCTCAGGGGTAGAAATTGAAACATCACCCTGTGAAATAAAAATATAGGTCAATTGATTAAAATAAATTTCAGAATACCACGCTATCAGAATACGAATAGTTTTGGAACAGTCAGTTGCTTCTCTAGAGTTTGCCACTTACTCATACCGGAATACTTTGAAGAGTATACTTTGAAGAGTACAAATTAGGCGCCACACTCTCGATCTTCCTGTCGGAAATTTTAATGCAAGTATAACCGTTACCCTTATTCCTATAATTTATATTCAAATACGAATTTCTTTATCTGATCGTTTACATTTCTGTGTAGTGACATGACAGGTGGCAATTGTAATTCCAATCGTAAAATATGCATATATCCGATTAATGAAGATCACACGCAAGTATTATGAATGAGAGGATAATTAATCGAAGTTTTAAATTAACTTGTCATTTATGAATGATGCACAGCTATCTATTCACTCAGATTATGTAAATTGTCAAGCGCGAAAATTTATTCCCCGCGTTATTAAATAAGGTCAATTACTTCGTTGAGCACAACATTAAACCCCGTCCCGTATAACTGCTTCTCTGAAAACAAGTCGACAAGAGCCATCCCATTAGTATATTGCCGACTTCCGATATTTTGAATTGAATTGTCTTAAATTCATAAAAGCGTTACTAGAACTGTGGGTAAATGCACCGTAAACTAACGGTAAATGGTAATAGGGTAAATGATGTAGTGCACGATTACAGAGAAAATGATTGAAAGTTATAGAACAATTACAAACATTCGAATAAAGTAATGTTTCTAAAAGACTACAACACTGAGCAGGGAGTTCGTCTGCACTTGAGCAGGAGTAAGGTAATTGGAATTTGCCTATACTTGGGGTAAGCGTAAGTTGCAAACAAAGCTTCCACTTTTGGAGTGAGATCTAAATCGAACATAAATCATTTATTTAGACACGATTTGCAACGGATAATTTTACAAAGGAACAAATATTGACGTATGCACTATGCAAGGAGCAATATAGATAAAGAAAACAGTAGAACATATTTATTGATAATTAATTATAACTTTATCCACGTCCATGGTTTATAAATATGAAAATATCAACTATTTTATTCGCTACTCAGTACTCAGTTATAATAATAATTAATCAAAATTAGAAGTCTTCAGCGCTCTTAGAAACAGTCATTAAAACTTAAATGTTTGGCATCTAGCATTCTGTGAGACCAAGACTCTTGAAGGGTAATTGCCCACTAAAGCTGTTTGAAGAATTTTAAAAAGCTCTTGTAGGCGCTTTAAGAATTAACTAAGATCTTTTGGGATGTTCTCATACGTTTTTGAAAGCTCTTAAATATGTTTACATATAACTTCAAACACTCACAAGAGTTCTTTAATTCTCCACTCTTTCAGGAATATTAAAGATAGGTACTAACGGTGTCTAGAAGCATGGTAGGATTTTTTTAAATTTCTTCCAAACTCTTGAAGGATCTTTAATATTAGAATACTAAATACTCATTCTAAAGTTCCAAAGGGGTTCCGAATGACAGGCTATCTGCTAACTTTTGCGGTTCTTAAATATTTTCAAATTCTATTAAAATCTCTTGCGGACATATGATACTTTATAACACCCTAGAAGAGTCTTGAGCAACTTTAAAGGCTAATAAATGCATTTCCATGTCTGGTGTAAAACATACCATTGAATACTCTTGGCGGAGCTGGTTCGGACATTCTAAAAAACCGCTCGAGCGACGAGCGCTCTAATTGTCTCAAAAATGCTCGCGAGCATCGAGTTGTTTTGCAAAGCGAGACCGCTTGCGCGTTCCGAGAACTCCTAAAAGCGCTCGAGCGGTTTATCACGAGCGCTCGGGAAAAGTGGTCGTGAGCGGTAAAAGCACTCGGGAGCGGAAAAAACGCTCGCGGGCGGGAAAAAACGCTCGCGAGCGGCGCTTAATCCTTCAACGCTTGAGGGCGATTAAAAGCGTTCACAAGCGAAATAAAACGCTCAGGAGCGGAAAAAGCGCTCGGGAACGGAAAAAGAGCTCACGAGCGAAAAAAGAATTTGCGAGCGGAAAAACCGCACGTGGGAAGAAAAGAGCGCTCGAGCGCCGAGCACTTTAAGTAAACGCTCGAGTATCGAGGACCAAGCGGCCGCTCCGAAAAGTGCGAGCGAGCGAACGAATCGCTCGCAAGCGCTTTTTCCTCTTAGAACGCTTTTTCGAGCGGAACGCTCAATAGCAATACCCAGCTCTGACTCTTGAGGCCTCTTAAAGGTGCTAGAAGATTCTTGGAAGATCTTTAAAGCTCTTGGGGGTCGTTTGTGTCCCTCTTAGAGGCCCCCTAGCAGTTTTTTAAGCACTCTTAAAAGTTTAAAAGCTATTAAAGGCATTTCAAGGAAGGTTTCTTAAACACGCCTCAAGCAGGAGCTCTCAGAACCTTAGGCGCTCTCCAACATTCGAATATTAAATTCCCTTACAAATTATCACACGCTTTTCACGAACTTTGTCTCTGCTTAGTTCCGTTTGGAATTTTTTAAAGCGATGCAACTAACTTTGTTTAGCTGGTTTCACTTTATTTAACAAATTTTTTGAGCAATTTCCGAAAGTAAGGAACGTTTGGTAGAGGAGTTTTTCGATACGTCTATGGTTCAAAAATTCAACGACGCCGACGGCTCAATATTAACACTACAAGTTCAGCTTCCTACTGGTAACCACGATGCTCAGAGCTTAATTAATAGATCTTTTAAATCGGACTACACCCCCCCTTAGTTTTTGCGTAATTTTCAACGCCCACAATGGCAGATTAACTTTAAAAATGGCGATGTCAAATTTTTGAGTGGTTACTACTCTTTGTCCAACCAATCCTAGTTGATTTTAAAAGTCGTTAATCGATCCCATCTCTTTCCAGAACATGCACGCTCAGTAAATTCCTTAGAAATCCCTAATAAAAGGGCTGTAAGCTGAAGTCCCACTCAGACTCCTGGGCGCGACTGACGACTAGAGGCAATTAAAAAAACAAAGACGCATTGATAATGACACGTATCATAATCATCATCATAAACCAAATTTGTTTGAGAAGACACTTCGGAACCTTGACATTTTTTACAGTTTTAAAAATTATAATTTACTTATTTGTGCGAGAAAATCGAAAAAATCAAATCCCAGGTAATATACCCGTTACAAGGGGGTCCTAAGAATAAGTAAAGGCTCATAATGGTAATCAGTTTACACTTTGGAAATTGTTGTGTTGTAGTAAATTACGTGATCGATCACTTGCATTAGGGGCCTTTTGGTTTGGGATTCATGGTGGTTTATATTCAATTTTTATATACAGACGAAAATATTTTCTATTAGCGGGGAAATATTTTTTTTTAATTTTTGGTCATAAATTTTTAAGTGGAAGGGGTTTCAGCCAAGGCTGCTTTACCAACACAACCCACTATACATTTACAAATAGCCATGCCCGAACCCGGATTTGAACCAGGGACCCTTATGTCGCAGTGGAGCTTCGGCCCCAGAGAAAAAGCGTCACAAAGTACTCTAAAATTTCAGTGAGGTTCCTAAAAACTTCTTTTTAAGGGTTCTGAAGTTAGTTCTAGAAGGCCTTAACCGCTTTTAAAAACTAAAACACACTTTTATAAATACTTGTAGGCTATCAACTATGAAAGCTTTTCAATATCCTCACAGGTTTTCAAACACTATCAAATGTTCCAGGAGGAATTTATGATACTATAAAAAACTCTAGAAGAGCGTTGAGCAAATTGACAAATTCTTTACTTTAGTATACTATAAATTCGCAGTCCATCTTCCTTAATAATTATTATAAAACACCTCAAAAATGGTGAAATCACAGTTACACGTTTATAACTGTACGTAAATTCCCTAAAATTATTGTTTTGTGCAGATCCCAATTTTCTACATAATATGTATAAAATAAAATTCATTTGTAGTAAGTTTCGATGCCAATATCATAGTAATTTGAAATTCTCGCTTATTTTTTATCTCAAATATGGTGGAATGATCATCGCAACGCAAGTAAAATTTTCCGAAATCAACCCCCTGAACGGAATATCACTTCCATTTCAACAATATCATAATGCAATCGTTGCAAACATGTTGTATAACTCTCGACGAAACTCTCGTATTCAAAACAAGAGGCGGTCAAAGATTAGGTGTAGCATTGTGTCAAGACCCCCATAATTAGGTACAATTAAAATGTTTTGATGGCCTCATTAAAATTGTACTCAAAAGCTACTACCGTACTTCATGCAATATTTCGTAATTAAAAAAAAGTTTCCCCTAAAAAGAAAACAAAATGATTAACATTTTAATTAAAATTTAATAACTCTGGCCAAAACACAATCTATTTTAAATAATTACGTCTAAAAAACATCTTAAATATAACGCAATATCTCGTAATCGCAATCCATAATACTTTCGGGAAGCAGACTCGACTTTAATTATCATTTAAAAGGGGAAATGGAAAGAATAAAGATGTCTAAAAAACTGAGTTACTTAATTTTCACGAGAACCATAAAAAGTTTGGGTGCTATTAAGCGCAGTGATCTTTGCAATGCAACAGCAGCTGACAGCCTCAATTTGTAGAAAAGGGAAACTTCATTGCTTAGCTCAATTGCGGCGCAACCCTTATAAATTTTTATCCAATGCAATATTGTTGTACATTTCGGAGCCTAATCATATTAAATTATTTTGATTTAGAAAAATAAGGCACTTACCCTTTTTGGAGGCGTGGAAACTATCTTGAGGTGACATCCTTTCGATTTGATCACTAAGTTTTGATCTCGGCAAAATCGTTCTGTCATTATTGATTTTCTCGACTGCATATCTAAATGCAATTTCCTGTTTGTCGTCGGCAGGATGAAATAAGCCACCTGTAAATAAATTACCTCTATAATTTACTCATAACTAAGTTACGTAGTTCAGAACTTGACCCCATAAATGTATCGCCATAACGGAAGTGGGGATGCCAATTGTTGAAACCAGAAATAACGCGTGTAACAGTATGTTGAGATTATTTAGTGCGACAGGTCAGTCTTAAATTACGGTAAGTGTTTCGTGATTTATATTTTAGGGTATAAATGCGTCTAGCGGTATCCCCAGTATGAATTAGACATAAAGTACTAATTTGTTATAAACCGTAAGTGATTTTGTTTTAATACCTCTATTGCATAAAGTAATGTTTAGGACTTTAGGTGATTACAATAATTATTAATATATTATCAATGATACGTCTTCAAAATTCTGTAAAAATTGCAGAAAATGTAGGGCTGTATCACGCTGTATCATGGTTTAGTTAATTACTAGTCTTAAAAAATTTATATATTTATGCCAAAAATTAAGGGTTGTATATCTTTAAACTTATAATCGATTGAAGTTGAAAAATATCAAACCAAATTGCATCTATCTTTTCTTAAAGGTATTAACCTCTAGCCAAATTTGAATCCGATTGTATTGCATGTATTTTTACAATTTATGGACTCATAATAGATTATATAGAAAAAATTAGTTTCTCATTTAAAGTTAGTTTGCTTAAAATTCAAGCAAAAGATCTGCAAACTCATGTTTCCACTATTATTTATTGTGTCTAACAATTGTACCGTATATTGTTGTTAGGCTAGTAATTCGCAAACCATGGCCGTGATCTAGAATTGACTAGTGAAAACCATAAATGGGAAAACTTGTAAATTTGAACTAAAATCTGTGCGCAGTTTTGAGGTAGCATTGTATGTTGGCTACCTTATACAAGGTGTCTCAACGAATATGTGTACCCCCCCTCCCCTCTTTCCTCCAAGAAAACCGCGCTTTCAAGTTTCAAAGTTTAACAATTAATAAAAACCCAAAAAAGGAACGAATGTACTACTCCACTAACTTTCATACAATCTGATTCAAACCCAGATCTTAATGAGCTGAGGAAACCCTTTCGGTAAAGTAAATTTGAGTGTAGGCATGTACGTAAACATTCTTGATTAATTATACATCATGCTTGAAAGCCTCATGAACATTAAGTTTCTGTGTACCTATTTACTTGCAAAGGGAAACTATTAAATATTAAGAGTCCGTTATTTCCGAAATCTAATTACATTCGACTGGCTGCATTAATGATGATAGTTTTATAATCCGAATAACAAAAAAGTTATACACACCGCATCCCTTAGGTATACAATGGACCTAAGCCACTAACCACATTAATATTGCAGCATGTAATTTCTTCTTTAATTTTCCTCCATTTGTATTCCTTTACTATGTAAAGCGATTTGCATTTATATCCCCAGATGTTTACTGGAGAAGTTGGTGGGTATTTCTCTCCTTGGAAGGCTTCATTCCAAAAGTACCTACTGTATACTATTTTGATTAGTCCACCGCCGATCTCTTTAATAAACTGCTTTAAAATGAAGTATATAAAACACACCCGTTGCTAAAACGCAAATTAAATTTTTTCAGCTGTAATGGCAAACGGCTCATCCTTTATTTCGCGATGCAATTAACTCAGGACAAATTAAAATACTCGGTCTCGGTGTAGGGAAGAATGCAATTTTTTTTCGTTTTAAATCGTTAACGGTGGTACAAACGCTTGTTTGCTGATCTCATTAGTGGTGTATATATTGTTTCGTGTTGGAGCGTAAGTTACGTCATGTTAATGGCCTATTTACCACGTATTCAAAGGATAACGGCTTTACAACTTTGAGTATGAATATTCTAATTAATTATAACTTAAGTCCATTTTATATTTTGGAATCCAGTCAACTTTTCGGTATATGAAAATAAAATGTCGGAAGGTTTCGAGAAATAAATACGCGCGCTTCTATTATCCCGCAAGTCGGGTCGAACACTACGATGGTTAATTTTGATGTGAACAAAAGATTCCACTATTATTTCGAACGAAAAAGGAACATTTGAGTGGATATGTTCTACGATATTATGTTATTGTAAAACGAATTTTTAATAGAATAAAATCCGGTAGTCCAATTTTGTGCGGATAAAGGGGTGCAGGGGACACACGAACGAGCCAGATAATCCGTTTTCAAGGTATTCATATTCAAAATTTTAAATGTGTTTTTATCTGATGCTTTTGCTATAGAAACGTTATGTCAAAATTTTATAAGAATCACTACTATAAGTGAAAAAATTAATTTTGCACATGCAATTTAACATGGTGGATGGTTAAAAACAAATATTTTACAAATAATTTAAATCCATCTCACCAACACCAACAATAACATATAGAAGGTTAAAGAAAACTGCTTCGAATTTTGCAAAAACTCCAAAATTATTATTGCAAGAGCAGTCAAAAAATTTTAACATTACTTTTGTCAATGACCGTACGCGTACACTCCTAAAGGTTACTGAAAGGTACAGAGGAAAGAAAATATTTTCAATGAAGTACTAAATTGAATTCAAGTTACAATAAATTGCGATGATCATAATCTACAGTAATCTAGGAATTTAGTTTGATCATAGAGTACGGTACAACACTATCTGATACCACTACATAAATGGTGTAATGCAACACATTAACACCCCATTATAACAATCAATTAAACGTTATCTTTACTTTTGGGACAGTTTTCCATGTACAAATTGTATAAGAGTTCCTTCATGGAGTCATAAACTTCATTATTCGCTTTTCCTTTTTAGCGATCCGCTTAAATAAATAAGTAGTAGGTACGAAACGAACCAAGTCTTTAGGGAAATTTGCAGCTGCTAAGTTGTAACGCGTCTTCTAGAACGAAAAGTACTTAATGCGATTGTTGTACATGTACATGTACAATACAGTAGTATACGGAAGCAATTTCTATAACATTATACTAATGTTTTTTAACGACTTGAACGATGATGGCCGTAAGCTTGGATTTCAAGCTTCATCTAACTTCACTAATGATTCTTTAAATAGAATTTATCTTCATTTAGGTCTAAGACTAAAGTTCTGTATCTATAAAAAAGTCTTAAAACTTTTGCATACCTCACTACTTTACACAATGAGAATAGAATTACTCCATTCAGCCCTAATTTATTTACTTAAAACTTTCCGACTGGAAACTTTATGAGAATATTTCATCTAATCAATCTCGCTGTAATGTACGTTGTATTACTAGATACACATTTCTAAGATTTTACAATGTCTTTATAAACATTGTCACCGCCCAACCCCCTCCCCCACCCTTCCCTACCTACCAATTATTCCAAGAGTGTCTGTTTTGACAAGGGAAATCTGCGTACAAGCCCATTAAGTGTACTGCTACTTCTATTATTAGACAAATTCGTTTGTGGAGACTATCAAATGTAGGAATGTAAGGAGTCTAGTGTTGTCAGTAAAAAAACTAAAACTTTACTTAGTAGACACTGGGATCAAAACTAGGCGCATGATTTACGTATGGAGGTCATAAACAGCTGGGGATTATTTAAACAGAAGTTGTGCAATTGAGCTATTGCCTATATAGCTATTGCTCACAATAGAGGTGGTCACAGAAACACTAATATGACATTATTGCAATGTATTCGGAAAATTTTCTAACCATATTAGGTTTAAGTAACAATTTTGGTGTAGTTAAGCTTCCTGGGCCAGATACTTGTAACAGGTAGTCGCTACGCTTACAAAGTTTTAGTTTTGAGTTTACAAATTTGCCAGTATAGGAAATTTTATACGTGTATCGCTCCATAATGAAAGAGAATACGCGAGAAAATAAAGCGCGTTAAGATAAGAGACGAGTGTGCATCAGATAACAGTCGAGACGCCACAGTGTTACCGGTTCTAAAAACCGTCTTTACGGCGAGGCGCATGGCGGACATAGCCGAAGCTTGCTTTGCATTAGATCCGTTTTGGTTTTTGAATTCGGTGAGTACTTAATTGAAAATTAATTGGGAGAGAAAGACTCTTCACCAAACTTATGAGGTAAAGTAAGTAACTCGAGCGCCGCATTTTTTCGATTGCGTTATAGATTCTTCGTTAAACGTTCAAAGCGAATCTATAATATGAGTTGTGTGCGCCATTTTTATACCGCGTGGTAAAAGATTCTGCGCTAAACTTGAACTACATGGGTTGAGCGCGGCATTTTGAGATTGCCTAAAGGTTTATTTTTTACTTCAAGCTTCAAACCGAAAGTCGTATAACCGCAGTGTAGAAAAGAATCGTGGTCTGCCGAACCATATGTGGTATTTTATTGTGGTAGTTGAAGTAATTACCGAATTTTAAAGGAAATTGTGTCGCGATTCCGACGAAATTATTATCTTGGGTGCTTTGCCAATTCACTCTGAGTTGCGATTACGATATAATATACGCAAAAGAGGAACTTCCTCGTGTAGTAGAAATTACTGGACGACTGATTTATATTTAATCGTAAATACAGTGTGAATACATTACTTTCGTAATAGGGTAACTGGTAAAAAAGTTTCAAGACAATTAACTCGCGCTTTTGCTAGTAGTTAAAGCCCTGTGTTATAAAGGTAGTTTTGACTATTCGCTACTGCAGAACAATTAATCCAATGAATAAACATAAATTCAACTATTAAAGGCTTGCAGTCCAGATTGTTCCTGATTTAGCGTAGTCAACCATTTCTCCAAATTAATTTTCAACGAGCAGTTACATTTGCGAGGCGATATCGTCAGTTCGATTATATTTCGGCTACCTTTTAAAAGAAGAGAATCGACTAGTTGATTAATTTTTTACATTGTGTAAATATAGGTTTTGGTGACTTTGTAGAAAAGATTTATGCTTAAAGTCAATTTATTAACATTCCTGAAGAGGTCGACCCACGGGAGTTTATTTCATAAACCAATTTATATATTTTTGTGAATCATAAGCGAACCCCAAACAGAGGATTTGGTAATTTTTTTTCTCATTAATTGTAAAGTCCAATTGTACGTTCGCCAAGT